CTCAATTACTAAAGCATTTACGTTATTTTGTTGTTTGAACATTATCACTTAACTGAACAAAACTGTCTAAATGTTTGTAATAAAACTTATGTCAGTTTCACGTAAAACAACAAAATTAAACTTTACAATATCATATTATGTTTTGAACCTTTAAAAAAACAAACTAGGTACAGGAATGAAAAGTGATACTGGACAAGAATCTTGTAATTCGAAAAGATTCTGTCGTTTAACGACAGTGCTAATTCTTCTGATAATTTCGGCCTGGAAAACTGCTGCAGACAGTGTTGATGATATAGAAATTTTTAATGAAAAAGAAATCAGGTGACAATTTATATGATAATCTTTTTTTTTTTAAATATGTAACCTATAATTATTTAATTATTTAAAAAATTATCTTATTTATTCTTTATTCAACCTTTGATTCAGTATTACCAATTTGTTGTACACTGTAGTTTTGTTTAGGTGATGAAAAAAAAAAAGCATTTGACAGAATAACTCATTAATCATTTATTTTACTTTATTTTTTGTTCAAATTTTTTCTATTTTTAAATTAACAAAAAAATAGTATAACAAAAAATATTTTTACTTTTTAATTGATACTATATACTAGTGCTTAAAATGTATTTGAGCATTAAGAGTTGACAAATGATCACAGTTAAATGCTGTTAATTTTAGGTCAAGAATTTTGATGATTAATGGTAATATCTATGTTTATGCTGGATTTGGTAAAAATATAACCTTTCAAACAAGTCTTACTGGTTCAATAAATTTTGGCAATACAAATATTCGGCAGATACCACGTGTGGTTAGTTGAACAAAAATTAACACATTTTAATTGTTTGCAATTATTTCTTTAATGTTCCTTTATTGTATTTTTATATGAAAATAAAAGAGTGAAAATAAATAGTAATGTCTATCAGTTGAGTAGAGAAGTTTCAGAGTTTTTTTTGCAATGTATCAAAGGTGTAAATATAAGAAACTAAAAAAGTTGTAATATTTCAAAGCTGGTTAGAAGAAAAGCCCCTTTTTTTTTTGTTTTTTATTAAATTAGTTAAAGTTTTTTTTTTGTACTCAGAAATTGCTTCTTCTGTTTACAAAGTTAACTTAGTGTTTAGTTTGAATAGTTGTAAATTACTGCAGTAATAGTTGCATACTTGATTAGAAGTAATTTTTCAATTTTTTTTTTTTATCGTTTTTATAACTAACTATAAATTTCAAATTTTTTTTTTCAGCTTAATTTATCTCTTCTGTTTTTCCTCTAAAAAATTTCACATTGCTGCATTTTTATGTATCATCAAAGTTTAAGTAGAATTTACAAAGAAATTTAAGTTGATATTTGTCTTCATAATTGTCTCCTACAGTGCAGCTGTAAATTTTGTGCTTACAGGAAGAACTGCAAGTGGCTGCCTCAAAATTGGATGAACAAGAGGTAAAAAAAAAAATTTTTTTTAAACTTTTTTTTTGATTTAACATTAAAAACTTGTCTATAATTTATAAAATCTTATGCTGAAAATCAGTTATTTATTAAAAAAAACAAAGAAATCCTGTTTTTGTAACCTGTTACTTGTCAGCACTGTTTTTAGACATTGAAATTGAAAATCAATTTTCTTTT